CGATACTTATCTCAATATAACAGAGCAGCCTCTCAGTAACACTATCCACCTTGTATGCTCCAGTAAAACCATGATCACGGACAGAACCACGATACTTATCTCAATATAACAGAGCAGCCTCTCAGTAACACTATCCTCCTTGTATGCTACAGTAAAACCATGACCACGGACAGAACCACGATACTTATCTCAATATAACAGAGCAGCCTCTCAGTTACACTATCCACCTTGTATGCTCCAGTAAAACCATGACCACGGACAGAACCACGATACTTATCTCAATATAACAGAGCAGCCTCTCAGTAACACTATCCTCCTTGTATGCTCCAGTAAAACCATGACCACGGACAGAACCACGATACTTATCTCAATATAACAGAGCAGCCTCTCAGTAACACTATCCTCCTTGTATGCTCCAGTAAATCCATGACCACGGACAGAACCACGATACTTATCTCAATATAACAGATCAGCCTCTCAGTAACACTATCCTCCTTGTATGCTACAGTAAAATCATGACCACGGACAGAACCACGATACTTATCTCAATATAACAGATCAGCCTCTCAGTAACACTATCCTCCTTGTATGCTACAGTAAAATCATGACCACGGACAGAACCACGATACTTATCTCAATATAACAGAGCAGCCTCTCAGTAACACTATCCTCCTTGTATGCTACAGTAAAACCATGACCACGGACAGAACCACGATACTTATCTCAATATAACAGAGCAGCCTCTCAGTAACACTATCCTCCTTGTATGCTCCAGTAAATCCATGACCACGGACAGAACCACGATACTTATCTCAATATAACAGAGCAGCCTCTCAGTAACACTATCCTCCTTGTATGCTCCAGTAAAACCATGACCACGGACAGAACCACGATACTTATCTCAATATAACAGAGCAGCCTCTCAGTAACACTATCCTCCTTGTATGCTCCAGTAAATTCATGACCACGGACAGAACCACGATACTTATCTCAATATAACCGAGCAGCCTCTCAGTAACACTATCCTCCTTGTATGCTCCAGTAAAACCATGACCACGGACAGAACCACGATACTTATCTCAATATAACAGAGCAGCCTCTCAGTTACACTATCCTCCTTGTATGCTCCATAAAAAAAAACATCTAATATAACAGAGCAGCCTCTCAGTAAAACCATGACCACGGACAGAACCACGATACTTATCTCAATATAACAGAGCAGCCTCAGCCAGCAATCATCAATCCTTAAATAGTTACAATTAGGTTACATTGCGTATATGTTTATATGTAATATGCTTATATCTATTCCTTACATCTCATCTCCACCGCAATAAAAAAAATGTACTAACAATTTATTTTATTTTCGCTTATATAATAAGGTATGTCAATACAATGAGTCGATCATAATTATTAATTATATTTTATAAACATTTTTTACAGATAAATAGATTATAATGTTCTACCATATTGCAGTCAAGTAGGTAATACAAAACTTAAAACAAAATTCCTAATAATATATAATATAGTGGCCAAGTTTGTCTCCAAAACCGGCCATGTTACGACTATTCCTCTTGAGGGACAAAGAACGGTTAATGCAGAATGGTATGCTAGCATTTGTTTGCCACAGGTCGTTTCTGAACTCCGTAAAGAGAACTGCAACCGCCGCATCATCCTCCATCACGACAATGCGAGTTCTCACACCGCACACAGAACAAAAAGAGTTTTTAGAGCAAGAAAACATAGAATTAGTAGACCATCCGCCGTACAGCCCCGACCTAAGCCCTAATGATTTCTATACTTTCCCTAAAATAAAGAATAAATTGCGTGGACAGAGATTTTCATCACCTGAAGAAGCTGTGGACGCCTACAAAACGGTCATTTTGGAGACTCCAACTTCCGAATGGAATGGTTGCTTCAATGATTGGTTCCATCGTATGGAAAAATGTATGAAATTTCGCGGAGAATACTTCGAAATGCAATAATGTATTTATTGCTTTTCGAAGTATTCTCCGCGAAATTTGACACATTTTTCCATACTTATATATATATATATATATATATATATATATATATATATATATATATATATATATATATAAATATTTATTTATATATTTTAAATAGTAATGTTGTGTCACCTCCTTGATTCCCGAAATTTTCAGTGCCGCCCTCGTACACTGTACTGTATTTAGATTGGGTAAGAAATAAAACATTCGTCTCTTTTTAAATTATTGTATTAATAAATAATGGTAGTTCTATTTACATGACACATTCTTTTGTTTTGGCAGAAGACAATAAAATATCATTACACAAATAGGTTCGTCATAAATCAATCATAATATAACGAATACCTCGCTCGCGACATAATTTGTGAACATAACTTTCACATATTCCTATGAATTTCAACGCGCAAAGTATGTCAACATAAATGACAAAGTTTTTGGTTACAATATATGACAATACTGATTATTTTTGGCTTTGTAGTTTTATATAATAAAAAATGCAAAGAGAAAGTGGCGCAGATACAATCTGTTACGTAATGATAAAAAATCAACTGGCATATTACGTGCCGGGAACTGCCCAAACACGGAAAAAACATGCTGGCAATCAAGCACACGTGATTAATTGGTTATATCACAGGTTTCTAGTGTGACCTAAATGTTTTCTTTATATAAAATCCAATTTACGTGAGATTAACATTCATCTACGATTTTTATTCAACACGTTACAAAAATGCGATTGTACAAACGACGCCAAATATAAATTATATAACTTGACATAAATTCGAGAACATGCAACAGTCTTTAGTTTAATGGATAAAAGATATTGTGATTTCATAATATTTATTTAAATAATTGTATTTTTAGCTTTGCGTCGTTTGTATAAGTGCAATTCTTACTACAATAATATAAAATGCAATTTAAATGAATCAATGCTACAACTGGATTTCAATAAATTTACCAAGAGGCAACCATTCACAACACGTAAGAAGACAATTCTCAAATTCAAAATGCATTCGTAAAGTGACAAATTTGTTCATATATATCCGTATACATTTCAAATATGTCTTATCTGCTTCATAAATGGTGCTTAATGAAATTTTACGTTACGAATTTTGCGATTTCCTTTGATATGTCTAGTCATACAATGCATTGACTGTCGAAGTGTTGACGAGCGTCGGCTACTTATGGCAAGAATAAGGGCACATATTAATAACGCACACAAATAATATCAGAATACAAATTTAGACAAACACCGGTAACAGTAGTTCAAAATGTTAAGCAACTCCATAAGATCGACGATAGTTTGCACCATTCGTTAAATTTAATATTTTCACTCCTACATTACAATGTACATAGACCTGACGCCTATTATTGCTTAGTTTTTTATAAGTTTTGCTCTCAAAACTTCACCTATAAATAATTTCACGTTCGTCCCAATAAATTTACCATTCAATAAATACGTACACGTAAAAAATATAAACTATATCAATAGTTTAATCTTTAAAACAAACTTCTCTTAGCCTAATTATATATTAATAACTATTCGTCAGTATGTTCTCATTTATTTTCAATAATATGCCTACTTTATAATCTTTCCAAGCGCCTGTTTTTTTCGCAATATCTATCTTAATATTATTGTATTTTAAATTTTATTTTATTATTCACGTAATTTCATTTAATTTATTAGTCGCTAAATAGTGGGATGATTTCATAAAATGCTCACACAATTTTAAAAAAGGTCAAATTTTACAGTTTAGAAATCCGCGATCACCTTATAACAAATACCTACCACTATCGTGGTCCAACGCGCAGGCACTCGAGAGGAAAGTAAAGAAGGCTTGAAATATGCGTAACATAACTGTAATGTCGAGCCGTAAAGCAAATATATTAATTATTAATATCTAGCATAACACTAAATTATTACAAAGAAAATCATTTCATAATAGTTCACGTAATACAATATAAATAAGTTAAATATTCTAAAAAGTTAAAAATACACACATCTTAACCTAATAGAAAAGCACTCAATTATGTTTGTAGTAAAATACATGTTTGATTTTACGAATTTAAATATATTTAAAAATGCCAAAACAAACTTTCAGATAGACGGGAATGATAATAATACGTTAAAATTAAAATAATAAATACACAGACAAAGGTACAAAAATATCAATAAACACCACCGTCTTGTGTCCGTACCTCTCTTGGACATTTGTCCCCTAACCCTCTCTCAAAACTTGATGTTTTGTACTTTTGCTCTGAAGGTATACAAGTAGTGTTAGTAGTTATGAGATCATTGTGTCGCATTAAATATTCATAATGCGCTAAATATTAGAAAATACGACAAAATATGCAGACAAACATAGTACATTAATGCCTCTATTTAATAAAAAGTAAACTTGAAAAAAAAAACTAATTCCGCGGAGGTCGACTCGATATTGGTAAAATTAAATACCACAGGAATATACAAAAAGCTACACATATAGGTCTCTTATGTGATACAATAGACACTAACGTAGTAACGTAAGACTAGTTGAAATGCGATAAACACTACTAAAATAAAACTTAAATAACATCTTTGATTAAAACTCACTCGGTACGCGTCGAAAACTACTACTGTAAAACGGTAGTCAATTCCAATTTAAAATGTGATTAAGGTATCCGGCTCACAAAGGACCAGCCTGTACCGTAAAGTATACGAGCCTATACATATATTTCATCCCTGAAACAGATGAAAAACCCTTGAATTATGTAATTATTTTAATCTGTATCGATCATAGTGACATTTCTGTAAGCATAATTGCACGACAGCTAGTGCAGCTTTCTAAATTGGCTCCCAAAAATATCAACACATATTCAAGGAACTCAGGCAAAAACCTGACACACAACCCTTAATTATTCGTACGAATTTGAATTGTGAAAATGCGTTTACACGATTATGAGTTAGGACACAAGTCGGGAACTAGATGACTATTTTGTGCCGGGTCGCGGCCTGCGTCAAGTGGCCGACTCTTGGTAAGGTCCCGTTACAGTGCAAGGGTGCATTGGGAACAGCGTCGTCCATGACATAGTCGTGTGGGTGTCTGTTCTCAACATAATCTGTCCACTTTTCTTTGAAGCGTTCGTCGCTTCGACCAACGCCGCGAGTGAACTATAACCGCCGGGTATAGCGTCCTCATTGTTCTTCCATTTTTCTGCTCCAGGCGTTTGTCTTTGTTCAGGTCCTGGTGTTGACGCAGGAGAAACGGAATTCGAATTTGGCCCTGGAGTTCCAGGCGTTGGAGGATTCAGTCCTAGTTTTTTCAATCTCATCTTTTCCTCCCATTCTTCCAAACCGTGTTTTGGCCGATTCAAATTTCTGTGCTGATAGAAAACTAACGATATTCTCGTCGGATTAACTCTATTTGGATTTTTGACTGCCGTGGTCGAGTGCATTTCATGTTTAGCGCATTCAAATAAAACACTACCGTGTCCTAAAGCAATTGCTACCCCTCCCATTTGACTATCTTTAAAACATTCAAGGTTGTCTGAGACCTCAGTCACTTCTCCGATAGGCTCAGCTTTAGGCGGTTCAGGTGGATACGGGATAGAAAACGGCGGCGGATATAGACACCAGTTTGGCGAAGATTGACACCAATTTGGATTTGGATTCTGATAGAAGTTGGGAGCGAAGTTCGGACTATACTGATAACCGTATGAATTGTAGCAATGTGAATTCCTAATCAATTCCTCCCTTTTGTATTTTTCAGCGTTATAATACGCTATACTATTGTAATCGTTATATGAATTCTCGTACGGGTTAAAATGACCGTATGGACTTGGAGGAAATGGGTAAGCATTTGTCATTTGTGGATAATTACCATAGCCTTGTATAGGCGCTTGATTCCCAAAAGTGTTTTGGTTGATAGGATGAAAGTTACTTCCAGTGAACTCATGAGGCGGTTTGTTGGGTGTAGCCATATTTTGTTGCATATCTTCATGGTTTATGGTGAAATTAGCCTGTGATGTGGGAGGCTGAGGCATTTGATTTGTTCTGTTGTCATATGGGCTTCTATGCTCGTAACCCTGACTGAGATGTGGCTTTTCTGAAGGTGGATATGGTTTAAGAAATGTGGAGTTTTCCATGCCATCTGCCGGATTGACGTGTTGTGATCGCGATGGTGGCCTAGCTTTCGGGACTCTAAATAAATAGTTCTCGTTGTCAGGCGCTTCCTTGGGTTTTGACGGGTCCCAATTTTTAGAATCAGGTGATTTCCAAACATTTTTGCGCGCATCATGCGAAATTAATGTATCGTTGAGTGGCGATTTTAAATCAGAAACTTGTGGTGGAACAGGAGATTCAGGGGTATTTTGTGATTTTAGTGATATTTCGGTCAAACGCGGAGAATTTGGCATATCGAATTCAGACATCTTACTTGTAATGTCACCAATCAGACTCTGTTTATCGTTCTCTGCTGTGTTCTTCTGTGAAATTTGATCTGAATTCGTTTCACTACGGTTTGAATCGGGACTGAAATTATTCGCTGGACCGTTTAGATGCGCCGTAGTCGAGTCAGGATCTTCCTTGACTACGTTATTAAATATTTCCGTATTGGCAAAATCAGGCCATTGATTTTGAGCTGGCAAATCTCCAGGATTAGAACTGAATTGTTGTTCTCGCTTTTGTAGCCCAGACGCGAAACTTGGAAGTTGATTGGGATTTGGGTTTTGACAATTACCTTCAACTAGTGGAGGGACATGGTTTGGATTATACAGATTATTTTGATGATGTATATTATAGCTTTGATCATAAGGGTTGTAAGGTGAATCTAGAACTGTGCTGGAGATTTGATTACTCTGTAGTTGAGCGTCAGTGAAGTTATCGATCATTGAGGCCATATCTAACAATGCCGGATTGGACAGATTAGGGTTTATAAGATTGGAAGAATTATTGTGCAAGTTTGGATTAACGAAAGCTGAATTGTACGATGAGTTATTAGCGAAAACTGAAGGGTTTGACTGATTGATAGCTGGAGTGTTAGCTCTTGGAGACGCACTGCTTTGGCTTTTAGGACTCGCGTTATTTCTGTTATCGTTGGGTTGCGGAGTTCTTGGCGCTTGTGTGTTCTGCTGTTGCTTCTTTTGATTGTTGGGATTTTGCTGCGACGCGTTGTTGTTCGAGGATGTATTATTACTTTCTGAGTTTTCGTCGTCCTTACGCTTTTTGCCGTGTCTTCTGCAAGGCTGCAACGGCACTGATCGCACTCTTACTTCCATAGGGAATCTGTAAGAGATAGATTTTTTAAAGTTATTATTAGATAAAATAGAGAGTAAAATACATTTTTAAATGATGTGTATGTTTAAATCATTCGTAAGATAGTTTACGGAGTACGGCGACAGATTTTGGGTAGTGTTTTGTTTAGGAGCAGACTTATGATTGGCTGTAATAATGATTTCAATGATAATAGTTGGTTAACAGTTTTTTCAAAAAGGCTTAAGCAGTCATTTTTCAGATTTTTACTTTTAGATTTTAATTTTCTGAAAGATGAAAGAGAACTAATTGTTTTTCGGTAGAGCGTAATTTCGTTTTCATTACGCTGTGGAATAATATAGTTATTTGAGTAAGAGTGGAACGGAACACATCGCACACCAATTGTAAAATAGTTGCAGCGCTCACTTATGCACCATCTGCAGCGCGTCGACGCGCACCTTGTCGTCTTGGTCGGCGGTAGAATCAAGCTAATGCGATGAGAGTGAGGCGGAGTACATCGCGCACTCACTTGTCTAGCAGCTGCAGCACGTCGACGCGCACCTTGTCGTCTTGGTCAGCGGTAGAATCAAGCTAATGCGATGAGAGTGAGGCGGAGTACATCGCGCACTCACTTGTCTAGCAGATGCAGCACGTCGACGCGCACCTTGTCGTCTTGGTCAGCGGTAGAATCAAGCTAATGCGATGAGAGTGAGGCGGAGTACATCGCGCACTCACTTGTCTAGCAGATGCAGCACGTCGACGCGCACCTTGTCGTCTTGGTCAGCGGTAGAATCAAGCTAATGCGATGAGAGTGAGGCGGAGTACATCGCGCACTCACTTGTCTAGCAGATGCAGCACGTCGACGCGCACCTTGTCGTCTTGGTCGGCGGTAGAATCAAGCTAATGCGATGAGAGTGAGGCGGAGTACATCGCGCACTCACTTGTCTAGCAGATGCAGCACGTCGACGCGCACCTTGTCGTCTTGGTCAGCGGTAGAATCAAGCTAATGCGATGAGAGTGAGGCGGAGTACATCGCGCACTCACTTGTCTAGCAGATGCAGCACGTCGACGCGCACCTTGTCGTCTTGGTCGGCGGTAGAATCAAGCTAATGCGATGAGAGTGAGGCGGAGTACATCGCGCACTCACTTGTCTAGCAGCTGCAGCACGTCGACGCGCACCTTGTCGTCTTGGTCGGCGGTAGAATCAAGCTAATGCGATGAGAGTGAGGCGGAGTACATCGCGCACTCACTTGTCTAGCAGCTGCAGCACGTCGACGCGCACCTTGTCGTCTTGGTCGGCGGTAGAATCAAGCTAATGCGATGAGAGTGAGGCGGAGTACATCGCGCACTCACTTGTCTAGCAGCTGCAGCACGTCGACGCGCACCTTGTCGTCTTGGTCAGCGGTAGAATCAAGCTAACGCGATGAGAGTGAGGCGGAGTACATCGCGCACTCACTTGTCTAGCAGATGCAGCACGTCGACGCGCACCTTGTCGTCTTGGCCATCCGCAGAGTCAAGCTAATTCAGTGAGAGTGAGACAGAGCAGATAGCGCACTCACTTGTCTAGCAGCTGCAGCGCACCGGCGCGCACCTTTTCGTCCTGCCCGGCGGCCGAGCCGAATTCGTCGGTGGAGTCGAGCACGTAGAGCGGCAGCACGTGCAGCTGCTCGTCGGCGGCGCGCGCGGGTCCGCGGTGGCGCGCCAGCGTGACGACGGCCGTGCAGCCGTTGTGCATGTTGTGCAGATCGCGGTGCGCGTGCGCGCAGAAGTCGATGCACGCCGTCACGCCTGCGGCAACACCACTCCTACGTTAGCGTCTCGCACCATTACCTCGCTAACTATCTGCGACATAGGCTTTTTCTAATTGGAGTGTTTGCGCTAAACGACACTTGTAATCACCACTTGGTAGACCAACTGGCGTTTGTATCATTGGCGCTCACTTGGCGATGAAGGTATTTTAAATGTAACACGTGTGTAGGCCTTTACTATTTGAAGAATTTACGCTAATTACCGCACTTGGCAGACGATTCGGCGATCGTAGTATCATTGACACTCATTTGACTAAGATGGAATGCCTTGTTTCCAGCAAAAAGGGTCTCCGGTTCTCTACATTCACCATACGAAACACAGCAGCATGAAGCTACTATTTTACGCTTGTATTCTGTGAGAGCGTGGTCCTTCCCCGGTCAAGCCGACGCATTCGTGCTACAACTACACTACTAATATAACTGCAGCATAGCTCTACCACGAATTAATGTTTAAATTTTTCTCTGTCATCTCTTAAGACATCCACGGGATGATATGGGATAGTGTTCTCTTACGTCGCCGTGTATATTATTTTTGATAATGATTTCGGAGAAATTTTAAAACATTGAAGTAATTTTTTATTGTTGATACTATACAAACCAGAAAAAGGACGTCCAGGCTTAAATCCCAATCGGCAATCCGAAGCTTCCTTTTCGAATTGGCACTGGTTCTCGAAGGACTTTGGAGCGAGATTCATATACAGCGGGCTGAGTAGAGTTGCGAGAACATTCATCCTCTCTTCGATTTCAGCCTCTTCAGTTTTAACGGATAGACGAAATTTACGAACGGTTTTCGATCTTGCATATTTACAGCCATTGTAGTACATCGACCATGAGCATCCGAAACTGTAGGAAGCGCCGCATGTTTCCGGGTCAAGTCCTGAAAAGAAAAATCAGTGTTAAATTAAAACATTACATATTCAACACAAAAGCCAAATTTATAATAAATAAAATTACTTGTTATAATTTTCTCATAATCATAAACTTTTTATGGTCAAAGGTTTTACTAAACACTCGAAAAATCGGAAATAAAAAGACGTTTTAAAGAAAAATTTAGATAGATAAGAGATTAAACTCCAAAACTGTGTAGTTAACATTTTTGTAACATAAGCCATTGGGAGCGAATACATCCAGCACGCCAGGAATATATATATATATATATATATATATTGACTTCAGATACTAGAGCATTAAACCGACAGCTTGGCGACATTATTAGTTCACGTATCTTTTGTCATCTTCAATCGAGTCGTTGAACTTCAAAAATATCGCCGAATGTGAACAATATGTTACACAACATTGAATATTAAAAGTATTTAATATGCGTAATTCTCTACCTTGACATGCGCAAGTTCTGTTCTCGTTCGTAGCACACCGCCTGGTGGTTGGTAATCCGTATCGGTTGAGCTTGTGCGACAGCAGCGTGTAGTCGAGGTCGGCTTCAGACTGCGGTATGCCGTCCCACGCCACCAGACATACCACTATCCATGCAGAGTTGCACTTGTGGCCGTTTCGGCATTTCACTACCACTAGCACCTTCTCCGTGTAATTTGCGCGTCTTATTATCTGCAAAAAACGATTTCAGTGTTGATATAGTTCTATGTTTAGTTGCATAATGGATCTATGATGCCTCTAGTACCCTTAAAATAAAGAAATAGTCTTCAAATTTAAATCAATGATTTGAAGTAGTAATGTTCTGCTATGCTCATAAAGCAAGGATATCTCTAACTCTGAATTATCACATCATATGTAAAACTTAACTAATTTTTTAGTCAACTAATTTGTATGTATTAAAGGGGGATGCCCATTTTCGGCCATGGAATGCCCAACAATATGCATTTGTTAAAAAAATATATCTTTATTTATGGTTATTAATCGCGGTATTCATTTATCCTAAAAAGATGGGAATATTCTTGCACAAAAAAGGTACGGAAATGATAAAAATAAAATTAGGTAAATGCGTAATTCATTAGTTTGTGGATAAAATAAAAAATGTTGCCAGTCACAAATCTCATTCGCCGAGTTGAAAATCGATTCCCTTTTTTAATCGATTATTTAAGGTGTCATTATTACAATGCTATTATAACTTTTCGATAATTATTATGATGTTATGATATAGGTGTAAAGCAACCGTTGACAACGTATATTTATCCAAAGCAGCCGATACGCAACCGTAGTCAACCAGTTGTTTATCCGACTACAGACGAAAAAGGATGGTTATGTTTTTACTGTGTGTGCGGGTGGCTAAGCTGAATCGCTTTTTGCAATGGTGCTTAAAAACTACTTGACCGATTTAAAAAATTCTTTCATCATTACAATTCTATTATGACTGTGAAACGTACGATGCATTTTATGATAGAGGACGCTACTTTCAAAGAATATATTTATTTAGCTAAACTCGTAAAATCCTTTCACCGCTATAATGTTATGTATATTTATAGATATCTAATGTAGGATGCATTTTTATTATAGAGGGCGCTACTTTCTGTGAATATGTTTTTATTAGCTAATCTCGAAATACTTGACCGATTTTGCAAATTCTTTCACCATTACATTGCTAATGAGGGCGTTAGTTTTGTGATAAAATTATATTATTAAAATAATTATTTGTGATATTAATACTTTCTAAATAAATAAAAGTAAATACCTACCTAAGATGATCAAATCCTATTATTATTTTTAAAATTTAACATTAATATTTACACACTTTACCTACTTAAGTTGATTGTTTCAGATATAAGTAATAAATCTAAAATAAGAGAGCTCCACTTAAACGAAAAAATAATTAATGAAATATAACTATAAAAGTTGGAAAAAGTGGCCCAATATGAATCGGCCTCGCAAGCCAATAAAGAGTTCCGTAGTAACAAGCAAAGATTCTACATCGAGTTAAAATACCACTATCATTATCGCCAGCAAAAAGTTACTCTGTTTTTCCTAGTTTTTGTATAAAGGACAAAATTATAATTGCGGTTCTTGAAAATAAGCTACTTGTAGCTCAAAAAAAGTCTTTTTGAAAGAGAAAAACTTATTGCACAAAAAATATTTTTATCAATTTCAAGCTAAAAACAACCGTTGTTATCGGCTTGGTTGAAAACGTTAACAACCGTCTTCACATCTGTAGTTATGATAATTAAATAAGCGATTTACTAGCTGATTTACAATGAATTCTATGCAGTATAACAAAACGCTACTGCAGAATATAACTGTTATTCTTATCTGTTCTTAACAATACATTTAAAATGAAATCATGTTATGATAATTAAACAAGTGAATTTCTAGCTGATTTACCATGAATTTTTAGAGCATAACAAAACGCTACTGCACAATTAACTGTTTTTAAAAATACACTTAAAATAGAATTTAAATAAATAAAGGAAAAAACGCCGAAAGTTAAAACGCCTCCAAGATTATTCTCTTTTTATGAAATTATTAATCGAATAATAATCGAATCGCTGTCGATATTATGATGTTATGATAATTAAACAAGCGAATTACTAGCTGACTTACTATTAATTTTTTAGAGTATAACAAAATGCTACTGCACAATTTAACTGTTATTGTTATCTGTTTTAACAATACATTTAAAATGGAATAATGTTAGCTGATTTACCATGAACTGTTTAGAGCATAACAATACGCTGCTACTCCACATTTAAACTGTTCTTAAAAATACATTTAAAAAAAGAATTTAAATAAATAAAAGAAAATATATTTTAAAAAGCGTGTAAAACTTAAAGCGCCTCAAATATTTTTTTTATTAAATTACTAATCGAATAAAAATCGATTTCGTTTCATTGTATTTATGTTAGTTATGTGGCAACATCAAATCTGGCAGCTAGGAAATATGTCATGCAAATTGCAAATGAAAATGATATCACAATTAAACAAGTAATAAGGTACTAGAGAATTCACAACTAAATAGTCGCAATTGTGTTATTTTGTTTGTTATTTTTCAAATAAATTCTCAAGAACTCATATGGAGTGATATTACCGATCACATTATAGTGTGACAACAGTTAAAAGTAAGTGTTCAATAGTTTTTAGTTTATTTATTCTAGTGCTGATATTTGATAGTGATCAATGAATGAAATGAAGTTGTTTTATTTTTTAACATATGCACAAGCTATATCTGACAAACATAGCTTATTTATAACATGTCGATAAGATTAGCTAGCACCAGATAGTTACGAAATTGACAATTTTTATCAAATACCAAGAAATGAGACAGTCGACTTTAATTAGGTCAGTCCTTAATTATTTAATAATATAGGTCATTAGGTTTTAAGTAACATTTACCTATATTTGAGTTTAAAGTAAACAAATCTATTTTATTTTTTTCACTTTGTCTTATGTTTTAATTAATATTATTTCAGTTGCCATCGTCATCGCGTGAGTGTCATGATTGCTGGCGAAAGACTGATAAAGCAGCATCACGTTAAGCTTTAGAACGGGAACCATCTGAATCATCTAGACCGTCCTCGTTGCAATCTAATGTGAGTAATGTATTGAACCTAGAACAACAAAGCTTAGATCATACATCGTACAATATACTGCTGCCTAATTTTGTGAGAGCACCACTCACACAAAATCAATGTTTTTCCTGGTTGTAACAATTCCAATCAACTCAATGTTCCATCAGTATTGCGGGTATCTCTTTTTTCGTATACAATTACTATGTGCCTCCAAAATGTAGAATCAGTAACTACCATTTAAATAGTAACTCTTGGTATTTACTTTTAGAATCAATATATAACCATATTAAAACATTTAGTGTAGCACAAATTATAGATTTTTCTACATTATTGTAAGATAATATATACCATCATATAGACTTTGAAAATATTCACAGTATGCCTGAACACACTGTACATTATTATCTAGGCTTATCAAAGGCACAATACCAACAAATTATGTCTGAAGTTCCCAAAATGTCAAGTAAACATAGTGGATGTTTTGCACTTGCTGTATATGTGATGAAAGTAAGAATAGGAGATAGTGATGAATGCATATAGGCATTATTGCAAGTGCCAAGAAACAGATTAGAGCGGCTATGAATATGGCCCATGAAATATTAAATCAGGATGTTGTTCCTAAGAATTTTATCCATCGTTACCACTCTCTGTGCCAAATTACATTCAGTAATTATGATATTTTATATTAGAGGTAAATAATTTCTTAACTTTCCTAGATGTTTTTGTTATCCAAAATTCTAACAACATCATAGGTCACACTGTGTATGGAAAAAGACCCATACAAACTGATATTTAAGCGGTGAATCTCACCATCATCCTTCACAGTTAGTTACCGTGAGCAAATCTTTGTTACAGAGAGCACATGGGATCTGTGAGAGCAAGCACCTGGCCGCGGAGCTTTAGCACTTCAAGCAGGTTCTGCACAGAATCAAGCTTCGGGTCCCGCGTCTACGTCACAGTGACCGAGTGAAGCCGACCACAGTTGAGCGTGTGCCTGCTGTACTACCGTATGTCAAGGGTGTCACCCCAACCAGATAGACATACATCAGATTTGATAGACCACAAATCCTCGTGAAAGAACCTTAATTCCTACCAAGGATGATATGTGAGGCTATTGAAATTAAAAAAACATCCTAATTTCAATAGAGAAGGCGGTTGGGTACTACCACCTGCTTGGGACACTATAATTAATAAAATTAAAACTAAACCCAAACATACCACTGCAAGAGTTAAAGGTAGAGTAAGTTCAATCTGCGTAGATTGGACTATAAAAATAATAATAAAAAGCTAAAGGTACTCCATGTTAATACTGACATTGGGATGGCAGTCACCTCAGTCCACCGTGACCATCGGTGCTATAAAGCACCTGAAACGTCGGAATTAAAAGTTAAAGAAATTAAAAGCAATAAAATTGGTAAAAGTAGTCGTTAAAAAACTGTATTTGTGAAAATAAAAACTTTTATATCATAAAAATCCCGACTTTTTTTAAACCAATTCCTTAACCATTTCATTATTTTAATTGCATATTATCATTTCCATATGCTTTTATATGTCACCCATGGCCGAAGTGTCTATGAACATTGGGCATCCCCCTTTATGTTTGTACTGTATATATGTACTAAATTTATGTTTTGGATTCACACATGTACTTCTTTCTCTTATATTTATCTTATTTAACATATCCCTATATTTTTGCCAGATCACTAAGATCAATTTTTTTTTGGTAAGTACAACACGTACACGTATCAATTCACTTAACAAATCAGGACTAAGATGCATTATAATTTTGGATTTTTATTTAACACAGTTACTTTTTTATAAAATATATTAATTAAAAATCTTTTGGGATCCATACACTCACCCACTTTGCCATCGGACATCCTTGGGCAGTTTTGCCCTCTTTTCCCGTGTAACAGATCTTTTCTATCCTTAGTTCCTTTCCAGACAGTCCTGTACGGGATTCCAGATCTTTTCTTAATTCTGCTAAACTTGAAGCAGCTCCTACAACAGTAGATAAGTCTTGTTATAAAGATAATTTATGTGTCTAGGTTAAAAACGAAACATGCGACATTTATTATGGTCTTTGATACATTGTAAAATAGTTTGAGATAGTATCGCCTAAAATAAGATTTACAATTGTTACGAACAATAAATTAGAAAACAAAGTCTAATATGAATATGTTTTAGTTTTTTGAAATAGAGCAAAAGTGAAATTGAATTTTTGTATGTATGACAAGGTACCTTAACTAAATCAACTCGGAAACATTATTTTACTAGAAGAATAATTTTTAGGAATCAATTGAAGTACCTCTAAATGAAAAGAATTAATCTATCTTGAAATTTGTTAAAATTATTCAAAATACGTTTTAGTTAAGAAATTTTACATAGTGCCTAATTAGAAGTAGTAATTAACCCTTCTTTCTATTTGCTGTAGCTTTCAATTTGCATAATTGATAAATAACTTCTTTCAACTTCTACAGTTTTATTTTTAAAGACTAGTGACAAATTGACACAAAGGTTAAATTTCAAAATAATTTAAAATTGAACTAACCTAAATGAGTATAATAACTTCCAGGTTCTGGAGGGTTTTTATCAGCTGGGAAGCAGTTGCAATCAGGCACCTCGGTTCTTGAACTGTTTCTAAGCTTTTCTAAGTTCTCAAGATATTCCTTTGAGTAGTTGAATTGGTTTTCTTTAGTTACCTTCGCTATATTATCTGGAACAGGCGTACTGGGCTTGGAAAGGTTCTTAGGATCTGTCTTTTCTAATGAATCGAGATCGTCTTCTAACATTTCATCTTTGGTTTGTAAACCTGGACATGCACCGTCTCGTAAATGTTCAGGTGGCGGTTTTTTCGTGGAACCTTGACGACAACATGAATATCCTACTTCATTTCTAATTGCAACTGGCCCACCATCTCCAGGAAACATATAAGGGTCATCCCGTGGGGGTCCATAATTAATATTTTTGTAAATTTTATGTCCTGGTGGTGAATGTTCCGATTTAATTTGTTCTATATAAAAAGGTGGTTTCGGATCAATAGGTGTGCTTCTACCTGAATTTCCTCTACTATCTGAGCCTTTTTGCGTTTTTGGCTCATAGTTTCTATTATACCTTTGGAAGCCTATGTTGTCTTGGACGCGAGGGATTTGTGCGTAAGATTTATTTGAATTTTGTCTTCCGTCGTAAGGATAGTTTTGGAAATTCTGGTAGCTCTGCTGTTTTTGCCCGAAGTTCTCTTGCTTTATGGTCGATATTGGTGGAAGTACAGTGTTTTGATTGGGTCTAGCTTGAGCTCTATTAGGAAACTCTCTATAAGCATTATTTAAATTTCCATCATTTTGTTTTTGGTGTTGCGTTTGACTTGCCATTCTAATAGCGTCAGATTGTATTCTGTCCTCTCTATTATATTGATAATTGTCAGGTATCTCCAATTTAGGTATCAAAGGTGCATTTGGATGCCTAAACTTAGCATCATAGGTTTCTCTTTCAAAAACCTTTTTTTGTGCGTTAGTATCCCTAGTAAGGTTGCAATTTTGTTGATTCAATTCAGATACTGGTCCTATTAGCATTTTAGATTGAAAATCTTTACTATCTTGTTGATTATAATTTAAATTATCACTAGCATAATTTTCTGCATATTTTTGGGATTCGAAATTCACATTCGAGTAAGGGTTGTATTGTCCTCTCATATCAGAGTACGAGGGCAAATTTTGAGATGTTTTTGATACGTTCACTGACGAGATGTGTTTATTATCATAACTCCGCAGGACTTCTGTCCCGCCCTCCCATACTTGGTGGCCACCACCTCCGAACTCGCTCACTTTATAAGAGTGAGGATTTTGGGCATAATTACCAGCGGCAGGGTAAGCTTGCTCGCCTATGCGGTAATTATCTCGGAGATGGTGGCTATACGATAAAAAATGACCGGTAGTATTTTTGTCATCAGTGGCAGAGATACCGCCCTTTCTATCGTCCAATCCTCGAGGAGGACCCTCACCAGGGTCCCCTTTATCAGGTGGCGTGTTTGTGCCATCTTGCGTATGGCTTTGTTTATTTAAAATCATCGTTTTCAGTCTCGAGTTCAAGTTTATCCGGTCTGACTGGGAAAACAATTGTTGTTCGGAATCATCTTGTCTTTGTTGCTGCATTTGTTGATTCTGCATTTGCTGATTTTGATGGTTCTGCATCTGAATTTGCTGGTTTTGTTGATGGTGGCTTAACTGTTGTTGGTTGTGTTGCTGATTCTGCATTTGTTGTTGGTTCTGCATTTGCTGTTGATTTTGAATTTGATTTTGTATCTGTTGTTGGTTCTGCAACTGTTGCTGATTTTGCATTTGCTGTTGATTCTGCATTTGTTGCTGGTTCTGCATTTGCTGCTGGTTCTGTATTTGTTGCTGGTTCTGCATTTGCTGCTGATTCTGCATTTGCTGTTGATTCTGTATTTGTTGCTGGTTCTGCATTTGTTGTTGATTTTGCATTTGTTGATTTTGAACTCTTTGGTTGTGCTGCCACTGGCGTTGTTGCCAGTCATTTTGGTTTTGCGCTTGGCTATTTTCCCTGTACTGTCCGCTATTATAGGCGCCCGAATACCCGCTACAGTCTAGTGAAGCTCGCGGACCGTTGCTCCCCTGCAGGTATCCAGGCTCGGCGTTTCCCGAATGCTGACTATTGGTTCCGTTTTGTTCCTGTCTATCTCCTTCGTTATTAGAATCACCGGTGCCACTCTCGGCGTTGCTATAGTCTTCCGTATGATCAGTTGTATATTCCGTGCGTTCATAATTTGGTTGACTAACGGTGTAGACTGATGCAGCTGATGTTGGTACTGAGTTCTGGTATGAAGCTGCAGATGCTGGCCGAGAATCACTTCCACTTGTAACACCTGGAGTAGGAGCTTGTTGGGTGTACTGTTGTTGGTATTCCGTAGCATAATGAGGAGCCCTTGGCGAAGGCACTGGAGTGTAAGCTCCACGATTCGATGGAGGTCTTTGTGCTGGTACGGTTTGAACTCCGGCTTGATAATAGGTGTTGCTTGTTACATCGAAGGTTGTGGCAACATTTTGGACGGTGTACGTAGTGTTCGCTTGATAGTGAGGTGACGTGGCGTACGGCGTGTGATTGCCTTGATAGTCAAGGGTAGTTTGTCCAGCCTGCGTTGGAATTTGCTGAATGAATTGGTTTTGCCAGCCTGTAAAAAATAAATAAGACATTTAGTACATAATTTAATAGCATATACACACTACGTTTAATAATAAAAAGGCATATATTTTTTTTCAAATTTAACTTTTTTAAGTAAACTTATAGTCGAATGTTAATCGTGTAAATTAAAATATATTCTAAAAACACAAGACACGGGGAAAAGCTAGATTTTCTTGGAACACATCGAAACATAAAATCTTTCTAATTAAATTGTAAATCACATAAAAATTACCTTGTGATGGGTCAGTCTGCCATGATGTCGGAAATCTGTTAGGATCTCCTGCGTAAAAAGGCATCGGAGCCTGAAAAGAATAGAAAATGATTATAAGTATTTCAATGATTGACTTGTTTACGCTAATTTTATATATTTGGCGAATGCATGACTTAGAATTGTGGTACTCGGCTTTTTGTCGTGGTTTTTTGGAAAAACATTATAGTAGTGTGTTTGTAAAGTTCTTTTTATATAAAACTGAAGTGAAAAATAAACTTGCAGACTACCTGATAGTAAGTGGTTACTGCAGTCTATGGACATCTACAGCCAACTTCAAATAAGAAAGTCTACAAAAATTCGTTGTCACTACTGAGGACTAGGGAGGAATACCTTACGGAATACCAGATCCCTTTTCAGCCAAAATAGATTTTTTACTCTAAAGAAACTAAATAAAGTTTTTTTTTTGAAGAGCGAACGTTGCCGTTAATTTTGAATATCATAACCCATTCCATATTCGATTTGCGACAGGAATGTCCTCCTCGCGTTTACTAGACTTCAAGTTTCGCGAACCCTATCCCTGTCCATTAGGTTTCTGACGTTTTTAAAAACATAACGATATGTTATTATGTTTTCTGTGAAATAATTAGTATGTGTTACATATGGCTATTATTTTGATTTAGAAATCTCAATTATTATCTTTGTCCGTTTTACAATGTTCCCTTCGTTGCTTTTTTTATAAGTGTTGGAATTTATATTGCATATGAATAATTAAAATAATAGCGTATGACAAATATAGCATGCATAAAAATAGTTAAACATGTCGTAAGAAATTAATGCCATCATAAAATATTCGTCAGCGTTGGGAGCAACACTGCGTTAATCGTACGTTTGCCTTTGCTCTATTGCGGCGTGACGCGTGTGTGCGAACGGCCGAGTTATCGCGTCACGTTGGGCGAGGTCGGTAACGTAGTAAATAGTTGTAAATATTGTACGGAAGAAATGAAACTTGACCTTTGACTTTAAATATCATATATATTAAAAAAAACGGCAACAAAAAATTAAGATGACGTATGTATCAGTTATAGTACGGGGAAATATGCTTACTGATAATTAAGCGTGCAGCGTTGGTAGTTTACACGATTATCGGTCGAAGGCTCATTCATCGGACTGATGGATCAACCATCGCTGAATCCAAATTTCACAGATTAAACCTATGGACATCAGCATAACTAGTGCGGGTTCGTATGGCTATGCACTTATCAATCCGTTTTTTTTTCGTTTTAAGCAGTGAACTAAAAAAGGCTTTCACAAAAAACACTTATGTTATCCTGGTCTTGAACAATATTATCGAGTATAGAATTTCTGATTTCATTCGACTACAAACAGCTAACTGTCAATTGCTGTAGTTGTAAATTTTCAAGGCTTACAAAAGAAAAACGTAAAATTACATTTTTTTTCCTAAAGATCTGCCACGTATGTTTAACGATGAGCTCGCAATTAAGTGATTGTGAGGTTAGTACGTCTTCATGAACAGGAACAGTATTTCTAGATGTTTACACAAGTTCTGCTATTTAATATGTTTTATTTAGTTTCTTAAGCGCGATTTTATTAGCTGTGTCCTTAACTACGTGCCTGCTCAGCGAGGTGTGAATACCAACTGATGTAGTCCTCAGACCTATGTCCAGCTGTGGTCTTAAAAAAGCTGTTGATGGTGCAATATGTGATGTTATGTAAGCCGTTTGCACTGCAGCTATAAATTATATCATTTGCAATTGATTTAATAACTGTGAAATGAAGTAAAAAGTTACATCCCTACGCTTGACTCCCTGTTAGCTACAAGACGTCTCTAATTTATAGAGAGAAAAAAGAATGGGAAGATTCCACTATTTAAAAGAAATTGCTTTCTAGTCAGTTTAATAACCTAACATGTTTTTCTATTTTTTATTATTCTTTTTTTACAATCTAAAGAAATACACACCTTTTTACAAACAATTTTTAATAATAATATTTGAATTTTACACTCAAATTTTTATTTTAAAATGTGTCGAAAAGTTGGAACGTAGATATCTTATAATGGAATTTACACGTGGGTACACCGTGCTTACACTAATACATGGGGTAATGTTTTTTTTATCGCTATTAATTTTGCTCCGCTGACTTTGAATAGACTTAATATTAAATTGTGATTAAAATTCTCAAATTTCTTTAATCTCTTCACATGCTTCGCCATCTGCAATTAAATATAGGCATCTTAAAATTATATTATGTAAAAGTAGATGTTCAAAGCTCACGCGTAATTAAAAATAAACTCCCTTAACAAATAAGGGGCCGCCGGCTCGCAAAAACGCGGAAAGTTAAGGAAATTGTTATTTTTTTAATATTTATGCGATGAAGGTAAATATTAATTTGAAGATGGTATGCGTAAGCCGTGTCGTGGCGGCGTTGGGGCTCTTATACACGCTAAGAAAAGTTGCCGAGTCTATGCAAGAATTCGTGTCGTTTCTACACACGAACTGTGTACAATGCACCAGCGCCAGCGCTGACAAAGACAAAAATCTTGTCTGCGCTAGACAATACGAGCTATGTATAGTTGCGGTGGAGGGAGGGGCGAAGTGGGTGAGTTGCTTCAGATAATTTGAGTTTTTTTGTACGTGTGGATGTGTTAAGGTACTTTTTAATTTATATATATATATAATGTCTTCTAGACCGAGTTTCGGTCATGGCAGCCTGCCTCAACGGAGGCTAGCCATCGGCGCAGGACATGATTATAGTGCCCAAGTGTACGCGCAAGCACAAGTGCGCTTTCTGTTCCCTCACTCTCATAATCCGATGGGACGCTGAAACCGACACGACCGTAGAGAAATCAGGCGCAGGACCAATGGCTTTACGTGCCGACTTTCTGACTCTGGCCAGCTACTGAGAATTTCTTGACGGAAAAACTCAACAATTGATTTTTGGGCCCGACCCAGGATTCGAACCCAGGACCTCACGATCAGCAGTCGCACTACTACAACCACTAGACCAACGAGGCAGTAGATATATATATATATATATATATATATATATATATATATATATAATACGCAATAATCATTTTTTGCTTCGTAGTTAACATGATTCTATTCATTACAAACATACTTTACTAGTACCCTACGCACAATTCACCGAAAACATCTTGTCGTTTACACGTCTCTATTTATTTTGTCTGAAGCACAAGACAAATTTTCGTGACTAGATCCGACAAAATTCTTGTCGTATACATGATGAATTGGTCTTATCTGCCGTAGAGACGGGAAATTTCTTAGCGTGAAGAGAGCCCTAAGAGAATTCACTACCCCATATCATCTCGTTGGTGCCGTAAGGGGCGGCAGAAGGAAATTAAACAGAAGATAAGCAGCAGCAACTGCCTGATAACAACCCTAAATAATAAAACTGTGGCTGTCAATTCACCCGTCAAGTGTTAATCCTACAAAGTGGCAATCTTTGGCAATCTTTTTTTACGTGGTAGAGCCATGCTGCAGTTATATTAGTAGTATAGTTGTAGCACGAATGGGTCGGCTCGACCGGGGAAGGACCACGCTCTCACAGAATACCAGCGTGAAATAGTAGCTTAATGCTGCTGTATTTCGTATGGTGAGTGTAGAGAACCGGAGACCCTTGTTACTGGAAATGAGGCATTCCATCTCAGTCCTCGCGGGTGACAACGCATCTGCATTTTGATTTGTAATGGAAGATAGATGTAGATGTCTATGGGCCGCAGCAACCACTTACCATCAGGTGGACTGTGTGCTCGTTCGTCACCCTATTCTATAAAAAAAAAAAAAAGCAGTTGTAGCAATGAAATATGTGCCTTCTGCTTTTCCAGGTCGTAAAAGTACACTGCTGGATTTGTATGACAGGCGAATTGACCTACCCAGTACCAGACGTCTCGCGCCTTTGACTATGCCGCCCGTCGTCGGTCTAAGTATTGTCTGGTGTAAACGTCATTGTTATACCGGCATCTATCGGATGCCTTAAAGTTTTTCTAGCATGTCCTATAGTCGCTTCTTACGATACCCACGGGACGAAACGGGCGATGGTTTCCCTTGATCTACCACCACATGGGATTTATTTAATATTATTTTCTAGTTCTACTACTAATTCGTACGTCTCATAGTTTTTAAAACGACACATTTAATGAGAGTTTTATTCGTTAATGCGGAACGTGTCTGGAACTTTGTAAGGTTTTAATTTTAATTTGCGCGTGAAACGAGACCTTACAGTTTGGTGAAATTTCATTAAGGAGCGTGACGTAGGGGCTTGTAATTAAAACTTACACGTTATATAACTAATTGTTTTTGTGTTTATTTCTTGATTAAAATGTAATTATTTCGTTTTGTTGGCGTTGTGACAGTCATGACAAAGTAAAATGAATACAGAAAGGCTTCAAGTCGACGGATCGGGAGCAGGGAAATAACAATCCTTCTCAACTTGGAAAAGACCCTATAACATAATATGATGTGTGTTTTTTTTTTATTTTATTTAATGACCTTTACAGAAAAAAAACATTACAGAACAGTTCATTTCTTCGCCAAACTGTAAAGACAGTTTGTTGGCGAATAAATGCACTCTTATATCCTATTACGAAATTAAATTAAATAAGTACCCAACCCACGTAATTACAAACAAATAGTATTACAAACAACTAAAAAAATTTTAAAACATGAACACAATAAATTCCACACTCTATCAAATACAAATACAACATCCCACCCACATAACATTGCAACAAAATAAAAATTGTAAATATAACCCTGATATATTTTTTTAAATATTACAAACAAATAATATTTTTCTAAATGGTCATACATCTAACATTTTATCCAAAAATAATTTCCCAAGTTTCTTTTTGATTTTTAATTTGCAATTAGGTCTATCTTGCCTTAGCCAATCTATTTCATTAAGAAGCTTTGGTATTAAATATTTTGTACATCTTTTACCATAGTAGTTTTTAACACTAGGCTGAAATAATTTCCCTTCTCTAACTTTCCTGGTTCTATATTTATTATCCAATTTTTCACTATGATTATTTTTATTAATGTTTTCCAGAAG